CAATGACCAGAGGTGAACAGTAACACAGTCAAAGAAGTAGATGCCAGTAGCTGGCAGACGGCACAAGTACATGCATTTGAAAGTCAGGAGATTCAAAACCTGTAGCAGGTAAAGGATAAATGGAGGCAAGTCTGGAAAAGACGTATTAATTACCTTGTTCTTTGCGTACCTCAGAGGGTGGAAGTAGCAGAATGGTTATATTCACAGGGCCTGAGCCGAGGGAACAATCGTTGTTACTCTCCTTCCTCTTGCCTTTGTAACTCAGATTTAGCCATTCAATGATTGACAATGCAAAACTATTAATTTTCACAACTTCATTATCCCTCCATACTAAGCCTTATTCTCATTCAAAAGACCTCGGATAAAGCAATCTGATCTAGACTTCAAACTAGTCCCTGAGAGAGGACTTCAAATGAAAAAGATTACATTTTCAGAGAACCTGAAGGAAGACAAAGGCTAGGAAGATTGTGGGATGAAAAAATAATACAAAAGTTCAGTACCTTTCTTCATAACATTTTCAGAAAACATGAGTAAAACCTCAAATATAAATGTTAAATTACAGAGAATCTTTAACATAGAGATGATATTCAGTAAAATTAATTCCATCATTTTAGGATCTAAAATTTATGTATACATATGTACCATGGTGCCTCAGCTCACAAATGCTTTTGTTTGCCAAATAATTTGGTTCACTAACGGAAGTGTCTGGCAAAATTTTGTTTTTGTTTACAAAGTCCACCTCAAGTAACAAACACAACTGCAGCCACCTTTCCCACACAAACACAAACATGGCCATCTTTCCCAAAATCATAAAACAAATCAAGTTTGTGAACCAAGGTACCACACTGTATATATGCGTAACATTATAAAACATTTTTGTGTGGGAAACTTCAGCTAATTTAAAGTCAGACATTTTTTTCAAAGGCAAAGTCACAGGCATAAAGAATAATTGAATAATGAGAATATAAGAAATTCTATACTCAAAAGTTACATAAAAACTTTCAAAAAGAGACATGATTTTCACAAGTTATTTTGAAAATGTTTGCATATGTTAATTTTAGCCTTCAAGTGTAATAGAGCCTAAAGTTTTATATTTGCCATAGTGTCTCTAGGTTTAAACTATCTTACAATGAGCAGAATCTAATTTTGTAGCTTGATAAGGAAAATTCCAATTTGTGAACTCTACAATATTGTCATGAAAGACCATCTGCTGTGGCATTTTACAATGACACATAAATGTTAGGCTTCAAGTAATTAAAAATTCAACAAACATGTTCTCCATTCTCCAAACAGAAAATTTACCAACATTTTACTATAGCTGCCCAAAAAACATACATAAAATAATACAAGGTTGGCTTCCATAATTATTTGATGTCAAAACCACCTTGAGAACATAAGTATTAGGTTTGCAGAGTTTACTTACAGAAGGAAGCACTTTGTGAATACTTGCACTTCTTCAGAAAGAAGTCAAATGTACACAGTTGTAACAGAAACACTTAAAGGTTTCTGTCTAAATCACAAATTTTTCTACTTATATACAGAACCAAAGTTTGCTAATCACAATAATCCCTCAAAACTGTCCTATATAAAAGGCTCATTTCATACATAACATATATATCCCTGAGAAATCTAACCTGAAAAAGGTATTTCACATTACTCACTTTAAAGATGTTTAGTGTCCACAAAAAAAAAAAAAAAAACTGGAGACAAATCCTTACAATATTACTATTTTCTCTAGGAATTAATTCTAGATTAACATACTCAGAGCACCATGCTTTGAACCATCAAACTTACTTGACACAATCTTTAAATATAAAAAATTTACTTCCTCATTTAGAAGATAAGTGTGATCCTTGATAAGGACCCACTCCTTGACCTAAGTCTACTCAGGCTCATGAATCACTTTTTTGATGGGCTTGCTTAGTCAGTTTTAGCAAGAATCCTGCAGACCCGTTTAGGAAAACCCTTCACCCTTGGTCTGATTACTTTCAATATCTTACTAGTTTATCATCAGCAAAAAATCCTTAGGTGAAGTCTGCAAAGAATTACCCCATCTCTTTATAATTTTCCATCTACTAACACCCTAAAATGTTCCTTGGCTATAAATTCCCATTTTTCCTGTAATACTCAAGAATTGAGGCTGGGGATTTAGCTCAGCGGCAAAAGCGCCTGCCTGGCAAGCGCAAGGTCGTGAGTTCAGTTCCCGGTACCAGAGAAAAACCAAAAAAAAAAAAAAAAAAAAACATGAATTGAGTTCAACTCCCTAACCTATGACGAAACCTTATTATAGTAGTCCCCCTCAAGTAAAGTCTTCCCTACTACCTCTGACAAGTGTTATGAATAGCTTTCTTCTTTAACTCCCTTCATCTGACTATTAATCCTTTCCCCAGTTCTTTCAGATTGGAAATTTACAAAAGAGTGCTGAGGGTGTAGATCTCAAAAATAAAAATAAAAAAAAATTTAAATAACAGGCTGGACAAGTAGCTCTGTGTAAAAGGCCTGGGTTCAACCCCCAAATACCATTAAAAAAAAAAAAAAGATATATATCATCTCCTGCTCTCTTGGTACCTGGTTAATTACCATGACAGCGAACTGTTTTAAAGCACACTTGCCCCTCCTGTCCTTTCTCTGCATTTGCCCAACTGTCCTTCTGTTCTTTAGCCATGTAAGGCCCTTACCAGATGGACAACCTAATCTTGAATTTCTTAGCCTCCAGCACTATGACCTAAATAAACCATAAACCTCTTTTCGTTAATAACTACTTGGTCTCAGGTATTCTGTCCTAGCCATAGAAAAAGGACTAAGACATCCAACCTATAATCCAGTAAGTTCACCTACATGGTTTATGGAATCCTGACAGAAGTTACTAAGACTTCTGCATAAGAGACAAGGAATTTTAGTACTCTTGTAGGAAAAGAACCAGTACATTTGGGTTGTTCTCCCTGAAGTCCCCCTAGGGGTGGGATGGAGGTCTACTCTCTCTGCAATGAGTTTAACTACAACTAAAAAACACTGAGAATTGATAGCTTGTATAACAAGTAATAAGTAAGCTTCCTCTATATGCCAAAAGAAAGACATTACCCTATCCTTTAAAAGTACTTGCTAAAAACACAGCTGTGAGAAACAGTCCAGGCAAAGAGTAGCTAAGATCACACATTCCTGACAGACCCAGCAAGAGGTACAGGAGCACAAGAGACCCATAGAGGAGTCTTTCCCAGTGCTGACAAGTGCAGAGGGAGGAACCAAACGCAGCAACATGACACCGAACCCTGAACTGTTAATTACTATTAATAAAACACATTCCAAACTTTCAACCAGAGTCCCTATATATAAATCTATAATTACCAAGGCCACTGAGGCTTCTGGCTAACATTTAATAAATAAACATAATAAACATTTAATAAATAAACATAAATAAACATTTATTTCTACTACCTCTAAACCCCAATAAAAATAACAATAAAATATGAAAAGAATATAAACACCAAGGATATATACAGTAGTGAAAGAAGGAAGTCCACACATTTTGGAAAGTAGATGATAGTGTGGGAACTGACTCAGAAGAGGAAACAATCTAGATCCTGAAGAAAATATTACTGTGAAGAAAAGGGTGGACAGGACCTGAGAGCACCAGAAAAGGTCAAAATCAGAAGTATCAAATATACGAGACGAAAGAAGTCAATTCAAGAAGGCAAAACAATAAGGAGTTAAATAAAAATCACTACAGAAAAAGTAACTGAACTTCTGGCTGTCCAATACAAAAATCTACATGTTAAGACACAGGTCACTGTGAAAGGAGACTGGAGGCTTCCTGTCTGAAATCTTGAGTTTGGCAAGGGTCATCCCACAATCAAAATCACGTTAAGTGACTAAGTAAGGCTGAGTAAGTGCCTCATGCACCCACGGATACCCTCAATTCTTCCAGTCTACTTTCTGTCTTCTCAATCTTAAACATAAACAGCTATGGATCATTAAGCATTTGAGTAAAATGCTGAACATGAAAGACTTTAAAACAGGTATTAAATAAAGGAATGAGAGGTAAATAAACAACAAAAGGAGCTGAAAAACCCTCCAAAAGAAAAGACGCCAGGCACGGTGGCACATATCTATAATCCCTGTACTCCGGGAGCCTAGGCAATTTAGCAAAACCCTGTCTCAAAGTAATTTTTTTTTTAATTTTTTAAATTAAAATTACTGGGATATAGTGTGAAGGACCTTCATGCGGAGATCCTGGGTTCAATCCACAGTACTGGGGGAGGGAAACACAGCGCAGGAAAAAACACATAAATAAATATGTAGAAAATGGGGAAAACAGCTAAAGAAATTCCTAGAAAACAAAAAAAGATAAAAACTGGCTATCAGGACAGAAGAAAAACTAAGACAATCAATCCAGAAGGACCAAATCCCAACAAACAAGAGAATATAAAGAGAGAACAGGAAACACAGAGAATTACTAAAGCAATAATAAAAAGAAATTCCCTAAACTAAAGAACTCAAATTGTCATGTTTCCATCCCAATAAATGAATCCAAGAAGCAGCTGCCAAGAATTGGGAGAAAGAACAGGGAGTGACTACTAGTGGGTTTCCCTTTTAGGGTGATGAAAATACTCCCCAAGAAGATAGTTGCACAACTCTGATTAGATTAAACACCAATGAACTGTACATTTTAAAAGCATGAATTTCAAAATGTATAAATTCTATCTCAGTAAGTATATTATAAAAAAAATATTCATGGCAACATGTTAAGATACCGTAGAATACAGAAGGGATCTTCTGAAGGATAGTTATTTCCTATGACCCAATAAAAATCAGTAATTTCAACAACAGCAAAAAACCAAACTATTTCTAACATGAGTATAAATTAATTAGCTATTCTTTCAGGTAAAAACTTAAGAAGAGAATGTAAAGAAAATTAACTCCACACATTAGTACCAGGACTTAACAAAAAGAGAGAGAGAAAAGGTGAAAGCAACTAGAAATAATGACAAAAATATACTTACAGCCTCAAACTGCAAATGGCTGTCCTTTAAGAAATTTTGAATTTTGTCCTTCGGTAAAATATTGAATCGAAATCGAAGGAGATCCATTTCTTGTTGAATGAACCAGCGTCTAAGATCTTCACTGAAATGGAAAGAGAGATTATGAGTATGAATTTAAGACTCCACTGATTATCACAAGAAATTTCTATGATATTCAAAGACAAGCAGAATGCTAACAGACAGTAGTTAAAAGCAATCAGGTTCTCTACAGTAATGAAGAGAGAAATACTGTGCCAGAAACCACAATACTCCAAGAGTGTATTCACCATAAGTTCAAGGGGTGTAATGAATATAAAGTTCAAATACAGAGTCCTTTGGGCCCACCTGATTACTGAATAACATAAAATAGTTCCTTGCATTTAACATAACTGTAAAAGAGTCATGTACCTTTTTTTGTTTGTTTGTTTGTTTGTTTTTCCAGTACTGGGGACTGAACTCACGACCTTACACTTGCTGGGCAGGCGCTGTGCCGCTGAGCTATATCCCCAACCCCTGAGAGTCATGTACCTTTGAAAATGAGGTATACCTTTGGGCTGAGATGGTTTCATCAAAGGCAAGTAAACACCAAAACTTAAGGTAACTTTATCTCTAATAGATGATGACCAGTAAATTTTAAAAAGTAGAACTATAAGCCTTACAAACAAAATATGATTTTCTTTTTTTAGGTGACTTTTAACAGATTATCAGCAATTTATTTACTATATAGGTTACATATAATACATATGCTTCTTTAAATAAGACCAAAATTGATGAATAATTTCTCAATTTTGTCCTTAAAATAGTAAGTCAAGATTCTCACTTGATAAACCTACTAATAAAGAGAAACGATTCCATATTATTCGGCCAAAATTAAATAAGAGTGAAAAAAATCAAGATTTTTTAAAAAGCAATTCCTTTTCCCTCTGGTGGTACTATTCCAAAAATTTGTATCAAATTCAAATATGCGTTTGATTAATTCTCATAAATATTACCTTCTTTTGGAAAAACATAAAAGTCCTTTTTCCTAAGGATACATTTCTCGTTTTAAATCTCACATAAAGTCACTCCAACAATTAAGCATTTCATCAGGCAAAATTGAGAAACAGAAGCTTTTTTCAGTATTTTTTAATAAACAATTGTTTCAAACACTTCACTACAACAATGTTCAACCCATCACACACTGGTTCCCAAGTGTTCCTATGTTCAGTGTATGTCAACTTCTCATGTATCAACTTATAGCCCAAGACATCAAATTTGACCATTAGAGTATAAATGTATACTCACGACTGACAATAAGCAAGGCGCAAAATAAAATGAGAAATATGATCTCTTCTTCGTGCCTCATACTCATCTTCTAAGTTTTCCTTAAAAATAATGACATGAATAAAATAAATGCATTAGAATGATAGTGAGTATAAAAAAATTCTGCATAAACAAAAAGGTGCAAAAACACATTTCTTGGTTTTTGGTTTTTTGTTTGTTTGTTTTGAGGGTCTTGCTATGTAGTATAGGCTTGCCTTGAACTCACTTATCTAGCACAGGCTGGCCTCAAACTCATGGTGACTCTCCTGCCTCCGCCTCCCAAGTGCTGGGATTACAGGCATGCACCACCATGCCTGGCCAAACACATATTTCTTAATATGTGTTCCAAGATAATTACCATTTTACTACAGCTTCAATCAGGTGAAACTAAGAACTGAAAGGATCTCATCAAAACCTCTATCTGGACCTATTTTCTTCACGTCAACCTCTTTTTCTTAACTTCCTTTCTTATACATCTTTTACCCAAGTAAAACATCTCACCACTTCAAACATTTTTTAGGTGAACTTCAACTCTGCCATATTACAATCTTCTAACTCCATATCAACCCCCATAGACTGTAGTACCTTCGTGCAGTCTGCGCTGCATTAGCCTTTGTAAAAGCCTTGTGCCTAATGCAAAACCATTCCCACAACTGACACTCGGTATGTAAACACAGACAAATGGAAGGCATTTTTCCTTTTACTTACTCTGAAGGAAAACTTGAGCTTTCGAATTTCAGCCTCCAGTTTACTCTGATATTGCTCAGTTCCTTTCACATAGCTCACACCAAGATTTTCAACTGTTTTTAGTACTAAAAAGGGGGAAGAAGTGTAAATGCAAGATGACTTTAGCAAACTAAACCCAAGACAAAATCTCCAGCAATTCTCCAATTACTTCTTTTCAGAACATGACAGCGTAAGTTTTACTTTCTACAAGTACATTACAAACAATGAATGTTTGGAAGAGAATAATCCCCATCTACAGGCAGAAAATACTCGTGTCCCACAGCACAATCTTACATCATGGATTCTTAACGACGGAAGAGGAAAGAGCAGAGGAGCCTTCTCATAGTAAGCCACTGTTGTCAACTACTTCCACACAGGAGAAAAACCTAACACCTCTTGCTTGCATTCTTCATGTGGAGCTGCCACTCAGAATCATAAAAATCAGGCTTTTCTGTCCTGATGAGGCAGAAAAGGAGAAGACACATCCATGAAGAAGAGGGGCCGTCATACCATCCAAGTGAACTCTCCTGAATAGATGCCACCTGCTGTGCACACATCTCTAAAGTTCCTCTTCAATACTTCTTTAGATGACTCTCTGCCTCTGTCTCTCTCTGTCTCTCCCTCAGTACTAACAACTGAACCCAAGCCTTTGCACTGAGCTCCATCCCCAGCCCTTCTTTTATATTTTATTCCAAGATACAAGAAACGGTCTCAATAGGTTGCTAAGGTGCCCAACTGGGCTCAAACTTGTGATCCTCCTGCCTCAGTCTCCAAGAGTGTTAGGAATACAGCCCTGTGCCACCATGCCCAGCGGGATGAATTCTTTTCCTGAGGAATTTTTTAATTCTTTGAATTCTTGCAATTTTCTAAGTTGCTTTCTGAACATAAACCCTGCCATGGTCCACAGACACCTCCTCATTAAGTTACAACCAAATGAAATCGGGTCTCCTCATTCCTGCCCCTCTTCTTGCCATCACTGTCTCCATTAGCAGTTTCCACCTACCACATCATTCAAGGGGCTTCCGCCCCCCTAACTCTACTACCTCACTCGTCGTATCCAAACCACTACCGAGTTCTGTAAACTCTTAGAAGCCAGGGGAAGGACCTGGGATATAACTCAGTGGCATAAGTGCCTGCCTGGCAAACACAAGGTCCTCAGTTCAACTCCTGGTACCCCGCTTAGAAACCGGGGGTACAGGTCAGTGGTAGAGCATGTGTATAGCATGTGTGAGGCCCTGGGTTCAACCCACACTACCAAAAATAAACAGATAATACCTTCTTAGTATCTTTAAATTTCTCCCTTCCTATCATAGCTATTGTCACTCCCTTAGTTCAGGTCATCCGGGTGCCAAATCTAAGTGACATCTTCATCATTATCCTAATCCCTATGAAGCATCTGACACTACTAAGCTCTCTAAAACCTCTTCTCCCTTGCCTTCACTCTCGCATTCCACAAACAATGAATGCCTCCCTCTCTGTATTAGAAGCTCTTACTCTGCTCCTCTAAGAATTAAAAACAGTATCTGTACTTCCCTAATTTCACCATAAGGATATAACAGTACTGGAACATAAACTATGAGTTCAGTGCTAGTGTTTGTTTCAATTCACATGTAGTTCATTCCTTTCCCATCAACATGAAGAGGAAACAGGGTCGGGCTTCCGGTGCACAGGGAGCTGCGGGTGGGGAGCGCCAGCCTTCTGGCTGGCTAGCTTCCTGCCTGCTGGCTCTCGGAGGGTGGGCCCCCAGCGCACGGGGAGCCATGCGGCGGCGAGCACTATTGCGCGCCGGCCCTTAGGCCGGCC